ATGAGTAGGGCTGCCACGATTAGTCGATTAAAAAACGATTAATCGATTATTAAATTAGTCTTCGATTATTTTAATAATCGATTAGTCGTCGATTAATCGACTAATCGTGGCAGCCCTACTCATGAGTGGGCCATCGTATACCCAGGGGAATGAACTAAAATGGTTGAATGTTTAATTTGTTTTCAAGAGTATAATATTATATGATGAGGTATCTGGTTGGTGGAATATAAATTGGCCTAGTCCACAGAATACCCAGTGTACAATTCAGTTTGATTCAGTTTATTTACATAGTGCCAAGTCACAACATGGTCTCAGGGCACTGTACAAAAAGAACCCCAATCAATCTAAAGAAGCCAGCAGATTGTGTTGAATCTTGACTTCATCACACTCTCCCATCCTGCAGCACATTGGTGACAGTGGAGAGGAAAAACTCCCTTTTAACAGGAAGAAACCTCCAGCAGAACCAGGCTCAGGACAGGCTGCCTTGACCGGCTGGGTTTGAGGGGACAGGAAAGAGACACAGAGAAACAGAAGGACCAGTACAGTCTAGCCTAGACCCCTTTCTCCCCAGGTATAGTCCAGATTGGGGGTTTGCTGTGGCCTATGTTACACAGGATTGCCAGTAGAATAGCTCTAATTTATTGCCAGGCCACTCTTGTAAATTAGATTTTTAATCCCGGTGAGCTTTCACTCCTGGTAAAATAAAGGATTAATAAGTGTGAAAATATTCAAACAGAAATATGAAAGTAACATTTTTCGTATGTTAGTATAGTATAGTATTTCGTATAGGCTTGTGAAACTGCATTCTTGGATGTGCACATGGTGTTTATAGCCACCTCAGCTTCTTTTGTGTTCACCTTGGCAGTAGGGATGTGAAGATAATGAATGAATGAATAAAACTTTATTGATCCCATGAAGGAAAATTACAGCAGATCCGTGCTCATTCGTGAATGCAAACGAGCACGATGCAGCTACATTGGTAGAGCAGCTGTGAACCAGTCCAGCTTTGGAACCAAATCTACTGGGCTATTATGTTTGAACCAGTACAATCTGATCTATTTAATGATGGGATAGTCTGCAAGCAGTTTCTTTTCTACTAGTCTGCTATAAGAAATATTAGAAAAGTTAAAACAGTGTATTTATATTTGGATGTTTAAAATAGATTCCCTCTCCTAATCTGTTTCCATTGGACAACTCTTCTTCTGCCTGTTTCTTTTTTTATTGTTTATCTGAGAGAACTGCAGCAGCACCAGCATAAACAAGAACAAACAAAGTGTGTTTCTGGGACAGACTCTGGCTCCAACAGGCTGGATGGACAAGTCTTCCCTTGTTTACATCTAGGCCTGTCACGATAACAAATTTTGCTGGGCGATTAATTGTCTCACAAATTATTGCGATAAGCGATAATATTGCCTGGTGACCATTTTACAACTAATAATTATAAAAGCGTAATATGTAAGTGTAACAAATCAATAAACTTTAATTTTTAAAGAATGTTTAACAAAGTGGACTCTCAGTCTCTAACAAAAATGCACTTGAATAAAAAAGAACAAAGAACAACAAAATGTAAATTAAACACCACACACAACTAAGACAGTAAATAAACAATATTAAAGAGCAGCATCTCTTTAGAGATGAAGCAAACTACACAGCCTGGTGAGGACTCACTGTTTCTTATGGGGACATAAGCCCAGTTCACATCATATGTAAAGTTTAAGGCTAGGTTTAGGGTCAAATGGTAATAGAAAATACTGGTAAATGAATGAAAGTCAATGCAAAGTCCCCATGAGGATAGAAGAACAAACGTGTCTGTGTGTGTGTGGGGGGGGAGGGGACAGTCAGAGC